GTTTTACTAGCTTGTTCCGGATTAGTCATTGCAGATTTCATTCGCTCAAGACAGTTACGAAACGAGCGCTTGTCGCCAGCAATTTCCTCAAAGAAGCACAATTTCTTATGACGAAGGAATGGTGATCCACGTTCTCCAAAAATAATTAGTGAGATGCTGATGCATGTGAATATCTGCCGTCCCAAAAGCCTCGTAAGGAGCTTAAAGAAGTTCAAGTCGCCAATTTGTTTTGTACTGAACATAGCATGAGCATAATGCTGCCTAAATAGTGGCAAATGTTCCCGATATATTCCATTAAACACTGGTACTTCTCGGAATCATTGAAGCAAATGGTACGCTTTATGCAATCCTCTGACACTGGGTGCAAGTCAAATTCGATAATTTCTTCGTGAAGATCTTTGCTAGAAGTGAATTTGCTAAGCTGAATTCTTCCATATCATTTGAATAACCACTTGCTAACCGTATTTGCAAATTTGGGGAATGGAATCGTATTCATGAGGTCAGACAGCTTGGCGGAAAGTGGCTTGACGTTTTCAGAATAATGGATCTGCACCTTGAAAAGGCTCTACGGATCATATGCCTTGATCACAGACTTCTCGTCCTCCATTGGCTTACGCTTGTAGTAGGCGGCATCTGATCCTTCAAAGACATAAAACTCGTAAATGAAGTAGAGCACAAATCGCTTCAGTAAATGGAGATATTCGAAGTTGGTAGTTTTCAACCTCTTCTCAGAAGGACTGAAATTGAGATCAAAGTTACGGTTTGGTTTGTTCTCGATCACGAAATGCGTTTTTGCCCAATATTCAAGCTCATAAATCTCGAACGATGTGTCAACCATAGCTAAACACATGTCGTCAACTGTTCGACCCGGTCAATTCAAGTTTTGGTCAAGTGTTGATAGCTCAAACAACTTCAAACTGTGTATTTTCCTTGGCACTTTGGCTTCAATTTCGTCCTTTCATTGTCTGTATACGACAGAGTCACAACCAGCAGTTATCGCTTTCAGGTTGCTTTCGTTCAAGGATGGATGATACTTTGGGTTATACCCACCACGGAATTCTTTTGTAGCAAACTCTTTGCTATAACGCTCTAATTTTGTTTGAGCACACAGCGATAGGTCTTGCGCATCGAATACCAATCAGGATGAGGTTTGTAACGCGTTCCGCTACTAATAACGTTAACACAGTGATAGGGAAGCTGGCACTTCCTAAAGTGTTGGTCGCCGAGTAGATTCAAAAGTGAGGATGACAGAGCGAGAGCTCTGACATCCCTCATGCCTAGCGTCTTCTACAGTTTGTTCTCTTCTATAGATTTTATGGACGGTTGCTTAACTCCTGACTACTCATGGACTCCATGAGTAGTGTACCAGCTGGGCGAGTGCTCTGCAAAAGCCCAATGCAATGTGAGCAAGGCTTGCATAGTCACCTCACGCTACAGGTTGACGAGCACAGAATCCGGCAAGTTATGGTTGTTGCAGAACTAGTCATTTGGGATCATCATAAATAATTGATGCAATCGCACATCGTAGGACTTGGTTGCTAGAATGTATTTCGCACCGCACTCAATGGTTGCTTGTGCAAATGATTCACGCTCATCACTAGACTTAAAATGAAGAAGTTACCAAGAATCTGCGATTCATCGAGTTCACCGAATTGATGCTGCTAAAGATGCGTGTATCCGCCTTGCCAAAGTCAGATGTGACATCACCATTGTGTTCGTAGTCGATTGAATCACCAACTACGTGCATCTTCAACTTTATCCAAGCACTGGGTGACAATACCCGTGAATCTCCCGATCTTAATTTATCGTATTTATCAACAGACTTAATATGCTGAATGAAATGCTCGCCATACATTTCTCCAATAGAGTCAGCCAACGTTTGTTTTGAAAAAAAATATCAGTAGTGGTATAAGAACTATTTGGTGTTATTGCTTCTTGTATAGGCTCATGAACAACAGGTTCATCAACAACTGTTGGCTGATACTTCGCGTGATGTCGGCACCAATCGCGTTTTGAGCCGCACTGTTGGTTCGCGTTTGGTGGTTCTCTGGGAAAATGTACTCACACATTAATATTTCGTTATATTTATTTTTTAATGCTCAACAAGAGCTCACTATTACTCAGCTTTTATAAAAATAGAATATTTTTGTCTGATTAGATAAAAACGTGCGTTGGCTATGAAACCGATAACAAGGCCACCTCGAAGATGCTCATTTCAAGTTCACATGAACCACACTTGCAACGATGGAGGCCATGGAAGGAGCAGCGCACCAGACAGAAATTCAAAAAAAATGAGAGAAGAGGTTGTTGATGAGGACCAAGAGAAAAAGCAGTGAAGCTGTTCCATGCAATATAAACCGGGTTGAGACAGCGGCAAAAAGTGATTGATACTGCGCGGACTCGTATGGCCAAACAGAATGCGTTGATATGCATCGATGTTTCGATATCAAGCGCCATATGAACATCATTTGAACTCGAGAAGTTGCAAGGGTCGAATGGCGCAAATGCAACTTGCAGTTACACCAAAGAAGTTCGTGGAATTGAACAACATCGGGTCGCAAATGAACCCACGTCTGCGGTATGATTTAAAGTTAGTACGCATACTGATGCTTACTCGACGAGGACGTTCTTGAATTCATGCACCAAACGAGCAGAGCCCCCTTGTGCTACTCAGCTTCTGACGGTGTTGCCCAGAGACTCCTCACATGAAAAGGAGAGATGTTCAAGATTAGGAACCAAGCCTGAACACTGGCATCAGATTCTTCATTAGGTGGATAGTTTCGTTCGTGCGTATTGATTCTCGGAGATACCACAAAGCGGGGGCATCAGAATGTTGGGATCCTCTGGCGAAGTCCGACGTCTGTTGCCATCAGCGTCTAGATAAGCTGTAGCCCCTTTCGTTCTTTGATAGATCGTAAGCTCCAG